TTAATTTTTTGTTTTTTTTGGTCCATTATGGCTCTTTGAGCAGTTCGGGTTGCAGACCCCTGCGTTAAACCAACTGGAGCTCCAACCACCTGCTGCTGTTTTGCTGCTCAAATGTTCAGACAATGACCCAGAAACTTCTCTGGACCTCATTCTGCGCTGCACAGACTCTCTGTCTGCACCAGTGAAGATTCACTCCCCCATGATGCCAAACGCTTCAACTGATGACCGACTGATGGTTTCAGCTGTTTGTCCACCTGTCAGGGCATTGGGACGTTATCTCCAGACAGCCCGGATCAGTATCGTCGTCTAAGTAACGTACTCTGTTCTGATGCAGGAAGACGCATTATAGAAAATAGATGAGACACGCTTCATGCTCATTTCCTGCTGGTTAGCCCAAACTGAATCAGCTCCAATCATCACATGATTAACAGTTTGACAGCAGCTTAAAACAGTCTTTATTGGACAAATGAACAAGTTTGTTGGACAATCTGAGAGTCTATAAACTCTGGTTTAACTGATAGAGTGAACAAAGGGACAGACTGAGGGCCACCAGCCTGGTCTTTAGGACGTTAAGCTGCGCGGTACGTGTCTCTGGCAGATGTAGCGCAGCCTGCTGGAGCAGTGCAGGTCGTTGAGGCGGCCGTCGCTGTGAAGGTGGGCGCAGTCTTCGTCTCCGGCACCCAAACCGTGACCGGTCCAGCTGTCGGGCTGACCAGGCTTCCATCGTCTGGACAACAGAGACACAAAGCAGACCGATCAGTAGGTCTTCCCTCCTGAGATCCAGACCTAGTTAGGAAGCTGAGGCAGAGGCATTTCTTGCAAGAAATAAAGTTCAAATTAATTTAATGTCCTCAGATGGAGAGATAAGGTTTTGACTGGGCAACCTCAGTACATTTATACCTTACAAAACGAAGAAGGCTGTGGACATTTGGAGCCTGTGAGGCTAAGAACAGACATACCTCAACATTTATTCACTCCACAGTTCCAACTAGTCTAGATGAACAGTTCTCTGGACTTTCTCAGGGTCCAGAAGGTCCTGATCACTTCCAGATTATGAAACCTAGACGTAACCTTTAAATCATTTATACAGATAAAGGCCATTTCTCAATCTGTGTACTTGTGCGTTCTCATCTGCTTGTGAAACGTCATTAGCCTTAGCACTAGTGCTGTTCCAATTCACAAGAACCGCAAACAGAGAACAGACAAAAATGCCAGTTGTTGTTCTCCCTATTTAGCGAGCATGCATCAGAGCTGGCTGCCGGCGCAGGCTAACATTACTATCATTAGCCTGTCTGCAGCAGCCCTCTCTCAGCATAGCTGCGTGTGAAGGACCGCTGGCTCTGATGGTGATTTTTTTTTGTTTTATTTGGGAAAATGTTAATTTGATTTGTCTGAGTGTGTCCATCATTATTCCCCCTCTGAATAAAAAAAGTCATAATTTATTATTATCCAGAGACTATTAATAACAGGAGGTGAAAAGCAGCTCTAGACTAGCCGGGCTTGTGATGACGTCACAAGGACTGTTCTGCTCCATTTTACCCAGATTTATGCTGCTTGCTCCCGTTCTCCCCAAGTCCAGACTTTGCTGTGTTCTTCTCAAGAACGTACTTGGCGAGGACAGGAGTCCGTACTCACATTCTTGTAAATTGAGAAACAGCCAACATGTGGTGAATCAGTGTTGTGTCGACATATAACCAAGAACTAGAAAAAGAACCTCCTTTAAAGCCGTTCTTTATACTCTGGTAGTGGCAGTAATGTTTCAAAGTCCTTGAGACCACATGGGTGAATATGAAGCCCCGCTAGCGATGTTCTACCTGCGGTTCATCACGTAGGGCGTCTGGTTGACCCACTCCCACCTTCCTGACTTCTCATCCGTCAGACCCACCCAGTAGAACGTACCTCCAGTGTGACGGAACACAAAGTCCTGGACCACAGAGACAAAAAGTAGAAGAGTTAAAGTTTTTACGCAGACGACACAATATTTACCTCCACTGTTAAGAATAAAGTGAGAACTAGTGAGCAGATTTACCCATTCATCATCGCTCATCATTATGACCAGGTGGGACTCGTGTCCGTTGCACCAGTCCCGAGCCTCGTGCCAGGACAGAGCATTCCTACTGAACAAGTAGCAACTGGTGCTGAAACTCTCCCAACCGAGGGGACAGCAGCCATCAGAGAGAGAACCTGAGGAGGCAGAGAAGATGGCGGCATTCACACTGAACCCATTAGGACTTTGGAACGGAGAACGAACCCGAACCCAGAGGGAGGAACCCTGCTGAGCGTTTGCACTGCCCACCGTTGTTAATGTAGCGATCCAGGGTGCATTTCAGCTTGGCCACCGTCCTGCCGATGGTGTCCAGGGTAGAGAGCTGCTTCAGGGCTTCAGACACTGAGGAGACACAGAGTCAGGGTCCATCAGAGGGTTCTGGAGGTTTCTGTTGTGTTTACGCTCCACGCTGTTCACCTGAGGTCAGCTGCTCCTTATTGCTCTCCACAGAGAACTTCAGCCTCTGGACGTCTTTACCTGTGTCTGCAGCAGACGGCATGGGACAGAGTCAGTTAGGGTGCGGACAGCCCAGGTTCCAGGTGACCTGGACAGGTGTGTTACCTTTAGTGAGCTGCTGGGTGGAGGAATGCCACTCCGTCTGGTTGGACACGGTTTTCTCCAAAGACCAGAGACGGCTCAGTGTGTTGGAGTCTGCAAACAGTCATTGCCCCCACAGGGGCAATTAACCACCAGTTAACTAACAGTCATGTCACATGACCTCAATGCAGAGAAACTCTATTCTGGGATTCAAACCCAGGACCCTCTGGTTGCTAGGATACAGTGGAGCAAACCATCATCCATCCATCATCCAACCATCCATCCAACCCTCATCCATCCATCCATCCATCCATCCATCATTCATCCACTCATCCATCCATCCATCATCCATCCATCCATCCATCATCCATCCATCCATCCATCATCCATTCATCCATCCATCATCTATTCATCCATCCATCATCCATCCATCCATCCATCATCCATTCATCCATCATCCATCCATCCATCATTCATCCACTCATCCATCCATCATCCATCCATCCATCCATCCATCATCTATTCATCCATCCATCCATCATCCATCCATCCATCCATCATTCATCCACTCATCCATCCATCCATCCATCCATCCAGTACATTCCAGCATAATCCAATAATCCAGGTCCATAAATTAAAAGGTGTTTACAAAGATTAGTTCCAATCTATAATCTGGTTCAGTTGACAGGATGAAGGAAAACTAAGCCGGGTTTTACTTTCTGGACCAGGACTATCCTCCCTGCATACAGGAATGTTTATCTTCGAGGGCATATCTCCATTAAATTAAACTATAAACTGCAAAAGAAGACCAAATAATATCCTGACGTCTAATACTGCTGTGGTCCAGCCATGTTCTGCTTCAGTCCCTGTTGGTTCCTCCACAGCAATGTTTGCTTTGTGTTGATTAATTGATCTCAGTGATCATCTCTAACTTGCTACCTAAAGCAACCGTTCAGTTCCTACCATGGTATCCCCACCAACAGTTCTAGTACCAGGCTTTGGGTAGTGGCAGTAAAACCGAGGTGTTAATCCAAATGGAAATGTTGGCTGAGGTTCTTCTCAGTACCTCTGAGGTGGCCAAGAACTGAATAAATATGTCTAAGGCTGACCTTCTGAGTTTTAATAACAAAAAAACAACTCACATTAAAAGGTGGACTCTCTCAGTTACTTCCAGCAGAATATTAAAGAGTAGAGAAACCATCTGGAAGTTTCCACATGGCTTAGACCTCCTCATCCCCATTCCAGGAGAGGGACCCAAAGGGACATTAACCAGGAGTTACTGGGAAACATGGATGTACTCACTGGTGACTCCGACTGCTATGATGAAGATGAGGACAAAAGCAACACCCAGGCCAGGATACAACCACCGTCTGAACCTGGAGACACTCGAGTAGGACATGGGACGGGGCTCTGATGGACAGATGGACATGTTAAATACCAGTCATCCCAGTCTGGGCCCAGTTCTCACTCTCGGCAGGTACCTTTGTTCCAGAAAGAGTTGCTCTCTTCGTCCACCTCGTCGTGGTATTCAGTCGTCATGGCGTTTTTCCTCGTCTTCGTCTCTTAGAACAACGCAGGCTGACAATGGAGCAGGTGTCCGTATGCGGCGCTGCAGGTCAATGGCCAAGGGACGTACTTTGGACTGAAAAACATGCTCTGTGTGTGTGTGTGTGTGTGTGTGTGTGTGTGTGTGTAGGGTGGGGGGGGCATCATAGCCTAAAGGGAAACCTGACCAAAGACAAACAGTGAAGCAAAGAAAAGAGGCTCTGAGAGGAACTGAAGCATGAACTTTCTAGATGTTGCTTTAATGCCACCACACCATAAAACGTCTCATTGCATAAAAATCATCATTAGCATCAACTGGTCCCTCTAAGAGTTTGGAACTGGTTCCAGTCCACAGCAGCTTCTCCCTGGTGGTCTAGGTGTGCGAGCCGCGTTTCTGGCAGATGAAGCGGAGGCTGGAGCTGCAGTGCATGTCATTGAGGAGTCCATTTTGATGAAGATGTGCGCAGTCTTCATCCTCGGGGCCCATTCCGTGGCCCGTCCAGGCGTCGGGCTGCCCAGGTACCCATCGCCTGGACCCGCACCATAGTTAGCTACCTGAAAACAGCCCTGAGGCTAAACAGAAGGAGACAGTGTCCGCCTGTACCTGCGCTGGATGGTGTAGGGGGTGTGGTTCACCCACTCCCACTTCCCAGTCCTCCCATCAGTCAAACCCACCCAGTATAGCAAAGGAATCGAGTTCTTGGTCACAAACTCCTGTGGAACAGAGAGCAGACACTGAAAATCATATGAAATCCTGATGGAAGAAAGAGCTGTTACACCCTGGGTCAGAACCAGAACTCAGAGCCATCCTGGTTGGTGAAGAAGATGAGATCTGGAGGTCAATTTAAGTCCAGAGGTCTCAGAACTTAGTAGTTCCTCCCCTGACCTCATAGAACTGGTTCTGGTTGCTGATGCTGTTGATGATGCTCTGGAGAGGGAGGAGCTTCAATCAGAGCCACTGGTGTCCCACTAACTTCTTAGGCTTAACTTTTTAAACAGTTTGTGCTCATGATGA